CTCCCGGCCCGTCGTGGCCCGCGGTTCAGGCGCGCTACTCTTGAACACGGTGCTTATTTGTGCTGTGATGGACGTAGTGAGAGCTCGTTGATAAAGGGAGGGAATTAAGAAAAATGAGAAAACTGAGAACGCCACGCGCTTTTACACCCCTGAGTCGTCTTGGGTCGGCTTTTGGCCATATCGTCCCCCGACCACGTGCGAGGTGCGCGGCGAGTGGGGAGGGAGCTGCTCTACGCTGACCGCGGTGGGCGGAGCTAACGAGGCACGTGGCTTCGGTGGGGCGGCGCAGATTTCCTTGGGTCTGCTTTAGATAACTCTGAACTAGGTGGTTAAGTGTCTTCTTATCGACCTGCAGCCCTCCAGTCTTAGCTTATGGGATAGTTTGCTTAAACATCGTTGTAAACATGATGGAAAGCTTCTTGTTAAAGGCAAGCGTGTGTCCTTTAAGGCACCCGTGTTCTCTTGAACTGGTCTTCCTTTCTAATAAACTTCAGGACTTCAGACTTGCTCTGAAATTCTTTGCTGCAGCAAAATCAAGCACTCATGGAGCAACGGCACCCCATGCACGCCGACGTCATCTCGGTGAAGGGGCAAGGATGGCTGGAGGAGCACCTTAGGAGATGACTTAGGGAGTCTAGGCTTGGTAGCCAAAAAATGAAGGCTGGAGGGATGGAGTTGAGAGGAAGAAGGGGAGGCATGATGGAGGTCAAAAAGGAAGAGGAAAAGATCGGAAGTAGTGGTTAAAACGTTTAAAGGTTTCATAGGTAGGGCAGGCTTGGAGTGATAAGAACCAAGCTGGGGGCAAGGAAATAAAGTATTAACAATTAGAAGGTTCTCTAAGTAGAAACAGAAAGTCACCCAGGGGAAGGAAGGAGCTGAAGTGAATTGGAAGATTTAGTAGCCTGGAGCCAGCATTCTCACTGGAGAAATAAGTGAAATCAGCAGAAAATCCTTGGGGAGAGGAGCCTGTGAATAAGAGTCCTCAGATCAAGGATTCCATCAAAACCAGGATTTAGAGGAACAGTCTTCAAAGTAGTCAAGGATTTAGGTAATTTTATTGATCAGGAAAAGGCATTCTGGAAAGTATCCTTTTGGCATCAGGGACCAGTTTCATGGAAAACAATTTTCCACAGATGGGGTGGGAGATGATTTCGGGATAAGTCAAGCACATTAAACTTATTGTGCACTTTATTTCTATTACTATTACACTGTAGTATGTGATTAAATAATTACACAGCTCACCATAATGCAGGATCAGTGGGAACCCTGAGCTTTTTTTCCTGCAACTAGATGGTCCCGTCTGGTGGTGATGGGAGACAGTAACACTCGAAGTGTGTTGCTTACGTCCAGTTCACTCTATAATCTTGTTTTGGCTGTCACTGCAGAAAACCCTGCTTCACAAAGATAAAATGTTGGAAATGGAGGCAGGCTTGTCAGCTCTGATCTGACAGGAAATGGAGTGCAGAGCAATGGGGAGCTGCTGTAAATACAGATGAAGCTTCGCTCACTTACCTGCCACTTACCTCTTGTTACACAGCCCAGTTGGGGACCCCTGTTCTAGAGTACATAGTGGTAAAGTTAGGTTGCATGAGAAAGAGTGGAAGGTCGAGTTAGGGGAGTGAAGGTACAGAAAGAAATTTTAAAATGAGACTACAAAGGGGACTTAAACTTTAGGTTTTTGCCAGGGCTGACAAGGATGTGAGGCATGATAAGATTAGCAGGGTGGAAAGTTTTCAAAATAATTAGTCCCAGCTCCCCCTCATGGATGGAACCTGCAAGAAGAGGTGGGGGGATGACCTGGCCCTTTTCAACTAAAAAAAAACCATTGTTGTTACCTTAGGAGGTAGAGCCCAAGTTCCAGAGTTGCAGATATGATCACTGATAACACCTGTAACTTTGAGGGCAAAGACACTCATTTCCAAAGAAAGCACTCACTATAAAAGTCGAATCAAGCCGGGCTCAGTGGCTCAGCCTGTAATCCCGCACCTTTGGAAGGCTGAGGTGAGTGAATTGCCTGAGCCCACGGGTTTGAGACCCGCCTGGGCAGAGGAGACCTCATCTCTACAATAAATCAAAAAATCAGCCGGGCGTGGTAGCGCATGCCTATAATTCTGGCTACTTGGAAGGCTGAGGCGGAAGGATCGCCGGAGCCCAGCAGGTCGAGGCTGCAGTGGCCGGGAGCGGCCACTGCACTCCAGCCTGGGCGACAGAGTGAGACTCCAACTCAAAAAAAAAAAAAAAAGTCGAATCAGTCTATAAAGACGCCAAAACTTATTAAATATTTTTGTTTAAAAGTTTTTGTTAACAGAGTTTAAATACAGACAGTAAATAGATCAGTGGTTGCCAGAAATTATCGGAGTGGGGGGATGAACTGTTGAATAGGTGACACTGGATTTTTTAAAACAGACTTTAATTTTCAGAGCACATTTGGGTTCACAGCCAAATTGAGCAGAAAATAGTGTTGCTCTTAATTATGCTTGACAAGGTACGGAGAGAAAAAGATGAACTCAGCTTCAAATTCCCAGCTCAACCACCACAGAGCAGACTGAAAAGTTTCCATGTCTATCCTGGGAAAAAGGTCCTGATCTCCTATAGCCACAGTGCAGAGATTTCTGAAAGCCAAATCCGGACTCTTGTCCTGCACGCAGTTGGATTACAACGCAAATTGAATTCCCAACCTCTCAGGGAACCGCTGCTGTAAAGTAAAGGCAGGGATGGGGAAGAAGCAAGGTCCTGCTCATTTGAGTGGGAACCTATGGGAGGCTTTGAACCCCTAAATTCTGTGGATTCTTTGCAACATTCATCTGAGGATGTTAACCATGCTACCCCTTGAGGAGCCTATAATGGCCTCTTCTGAGATATTTGCCTTACGAGACATCGCTGATTCTCCTCAGAACCTCTGCTAGACACTTCTCTTTGCTTCTAGAACTATAACGAGACTCAAGTCCCTGCAGGCCTCAAAAGGTGAGCTGCAGAGTGTGACCCATGAGGAGATACATTATGTTCTAAAAGAACTGCCTGCGTTTTTTAAACTTACATAGACAGAAATCTGATGGATATGTGTGGGAATGGGTTTTAGGGTGTGGGATAACGATGGGAGGAACATAGAATAGAATCAGGCTGAATGTATTGACATGGACCCAGGAGACCCAAAATGTCACTGTGGTCACCATTTGAGTAGTGGCTTATGCAAGTCTGTCTCACAGTGGGCCAGTGGGTCCCCAAACCCATTTTGTGGTTGTTTCCCCAGTTCCAGAAATAACTGAGGTAGACACTCAGAAGCTGGCAGAATCCCCCACTGGTTCCCTGACCTGTGGAGTGAGAGCTCTTGTAATAGAAAAGGCCAAGAGGAAGCCACTAAAACTGCCTCTTCCTAGGAAAATAACAAACCAGAAGCAATATCCCATTCCTGGCAAGATTGCAGAAATTAATGCCATCTCCAAGGACTTGAACAAAGTGGGATTAGTGATTTCCAAAACATTCCCATTCAAGTAACCTATTTGGCCTGTGCAGAAGAAAGATGGATCTAGGAGAATGACCCTGGAGACTTAACCGGTGGTCACTTCAATTACAACTGCTATTACAGATGTGGTTTTGTTGCTTGAGTAAATTAACACACTTCTTGGCCTCTGGTTTTCAGCTATCAATCTGGCAAATGCTTTTTCCTCAATGACTGTTAATAAAGGTTACCAGAAGCAGTTTTCTTTCAGCTGCCAAGGCCTGCAATACCCTTGAATTAGTCTGCTCGGATTGCCATGACAAAATACCACAGACTGGGTGGTTTAAGCAACAGAAATGTATTTTTTCACAAGTCCTAGACAGACATGCCAGTAGATTTTATTTCTAGTGAGGTTTCTCTCCTTGGTTTGCAGGCAGCCACTTTTTGGCTATGTCCTCACATGGCCTTTGCTCTATGCATATGTGCAGAGACATCTCTGGTGTATCTTCCTCTTCTTTTTTTTTTTTTAAGTTGGAATCTCACTCTGTTGTCCAGGCTGGAGTGCAGTGGCATGCTCACGGCCACCGCAGCCTTGACCTACTGGGCTCAAGGCATCCTTCCACCTCTGCCTTCCAAGTAGCTGGAACTACAGGCACGTGCTGCCATGCCCAGATAGTTTTTCATTATTATTATTTATTGTAGAGACAAGGTCTTTGGCCTCCCAAAGTGCTGGGATTACAGGCTTGAGCCACCATGCCCGACTTCTTCCTCTTCTTATAAGTTCACCAGCCCCACCCTTATGACCTTGCTTAATTTTAATTAGCTCCCTAAAGTTCTTATCTCCAAAGATAGTCACATTGGGGGTTAGGACATCAACATAAGAATTTGGGGAGAACATAATTCAGTTCATAACGAACTGTCTTACCTTAGGGGTATATTAGACTCCCCATCCTGTCATATTTGGTCTGCAGGGATCTTGATCACCTTTCCCTTCCACAAAATGCCACATCGGTCCATTATATTAGTGACAGATTGCATCATCATAAATAATGACAGATAATGACTGACTGGACCTAGTGAACAAGATGTAACAACTACTCTAGACACCACCCAAATATGGACACCCAGTGGCTCCTTTTGCATGGCATGAACAGACAGTTCTCAAAGGAAGCCAACAAACACTTGAAAAAATGTTCAGCCTCAATAATCATCAGAGGAATGCACATCAAAACTATGCTGAGATAGCACCCAACACCAATAAGGATGGCTACCATCAATAAATCAAAAAACAACAAGCACTGGCTCAGCTATGGAGAAAAGGGGATGCTTCTATACTGTTAGTGGGAATATAAGCTAACACAACCTTTGTGAAAAGCGGTATGGCAATTTCTCAAAGAACAAAATGAGCTTCCATACAATCCAGCAATCCCTCTTCTGAGAATATACCCAAAGAAACACAAAGCACTCTACCAAAAAGACACCTGCACACCTTTATTGCAGCACCATTCACACTAGGAAA